GGGAACAATGGAGGAGCAGTTCTGCTAGCTCTTCTCCTTCCCCTTGGGGCCGCTCCTGAAATTCCCACAAGATACCTGGGAGAGCCCAGCACCGTCAGCAGCAGAATTCCCCTCCAGAGCTGGCCTGTGATTTGGGGAAGTGCTTTGTTTGGGTCCCTGGGGTTTCCCTGGGCGGCTGGGGAGGAAGCCTTGCCGGCTCATACTGGAAACTCATCACGGGCCCCTGCCTCTTCCACCCCTCCCAGGCTGGGGTCCTCCTCACCCAGATGCCCAGGGTATTGGCCTCAGAGGACCAAGCTCTCGCCCAGCTTGGCCACTAACCTGCTGTGCTGAGTGCTGGCCTCAGCCATGCGAGCAGGGACGGGAAGGAGGAGGGGAAAGCAAGCCCCTCCCGCCAAGGTCGGGTAGAAGAGACAGTGACCCTCCGGTGCAGAAATCTCACCAGTGGTCAGCCTTGTTGAAATACATTCCTCAGGGGAACACCCTGGGAGGAACAGAGAAAAGGGCTGGGGCACCAGGGCTCCAAGTCCCCGGGAGGGGGTGGGGGCTGTGCCTATGAGAGCCGCTGCCCGGGGCAGATCAAAAGGTGGGCACGTGATTCCAGGCTGCTGCGTAAACGGGGATGTTTGGGCCCCACTGCTCCTGGCACACACTTCTCTCCAGAGGTGGTCCCCGTTTTACCCCAACACCCCCGCCCCCAGCCTGGGCTCAGCCCGCGTGAGGCTGCGGGGGCGGCACCGGCGCCTTCCTGCGCTGCCCTTATATGGCAATCCGGGGCCGAGCCGGGCCGGGCTACTTAAGGCCGGGAGCCCGCGGGACGGGACGGCGGGGCCTGCCAGAGCCGGGGTAGGGGAGAAGTGGGGCCGCAGAGAAGGAGCAGGAAGAGGCCGGGCCATGGGGCTGGAAGAGGCGCGGGAGCTGGAGTGCGCGGCGCTGGGGGCGCTGCTGCGGGAGCCGCGGGAGGCCGAGCGCACGCTGCTGCTGGACTGCCGCCCCTTCCTGGCCTTCTGCCGGCGCCACGTGCGCGCCGCGCGCCCGGTGCCCTGGAACGGCCTGCTGCGCCGCCGCGCCCGCGGGCCCCCCGCCGCCGCCCTCGCCTGCCTGCTGCCCGACCGCGCGCTGCGGGCGCGCCTGGCCCGCGGGGAGCTGGCGCGGGCCGTGGTGCTGGACCAGGCCGGTGCCTCGCTTGCCACGTTGGCACCCGATTGCCCTGCCCGGGTGCTGCTGGCCGCGCTGCTGCACGAGACCCACGCCGGGCCCACCGCTGTGTGCTTCCTTCGAGGTGAGCGGCGGGCCCCACTTCCCCTGCTTAGCCCAGCCCTCCTGCGCCGTTCCCTCCGGGCCTCCCGCTGACGGAGCCCCTTTCTCCCTGTAGGAGGCTTCGATGCCTTCCAGGCCTGCTGTCCCGACCTGTGCTCCGAGTCCGCCGCCCCAGCGACGCCTCCTCCTGGGGCAGAAAGCAACCGTTCCGACCCCAGGGTTCCCTTTTATGACCAGGTGAGTTGGAGATCAGGCCTCCTTGTCCCTGTTCCCCTGTGTCACTGTGCCTGGCGTGGGTTTGTGGGTCTGTGGGTGTTTGCAGCCTGTTTTGAGGCTCAAGGGAGATGTGTTTACCCGTGAGCGCTGTGTGCCCCTGGGTGTCCTCATACCCCAGGAGCCTGGTCTCGGTCAGCACTGGCGCAGGGCTCCTCGGGCCTGAGTGGGGAAGGCTCACCCGTTCTCTCCCTTCTTCCCCAGGGTGGCCCTGTGGAGATCTTGCCCTACCTCTTCCTGGGCAGTTGCAGCCACTCCTCCGACCTGCAGGGGCTGCAGGCCTGCGGCATCACCGCTGTCCTCAACGTCTCCGCCAGCTGCCCCAACCACTTCGAGGGCCTTCTGCGCTACAAGAGCATCCCGGTGGAGGACAACCAGATGGTGGAGATCAGTGCCTGGTTTCAGGAGGCCATAGGCTTCATTGGTACGGGGGGTTCTTGGCCCCAGGATGGAGGGGTCCAAGGGAGGGACTTGGGGCATGGTTTCCTCCCTGCTCAACCTCCCATCTGACCCCCGCCCATTTCCCTTGCAGATTCCGTGAAGAACAGTGGGGGCCGGGTGCTGGTGCACTGCCAGGCGGGCATCTCCCGCTCTGCCACCATCTGCCTGGCATACCTGATCCAGAGCCACCGTGTGCGGCTGGATGAGGCCTTCGACTTTGTTAAGCAACGCCGGGGGGTCATCTCCCCCAATTTCAGCTTCATGGGGCAGCTGCTACAGTTTGAGACTCAGGTGCTATGCCACTGAAGTGCCACAGCTGTGGCTCCAAGGCAGTTGGCCTGGGACAGCGAGGCTGCCTTGGGGGCCTCACAGCCCCCCTCACCGCAGGGAGACCCGCCCCTTGCTTGGAGTCTGGAAAGCTCCCGCAGGGGCGCTGCAAGTACAGGAATGCTGGACTCTCACCTGGTGCTCTTCTGCTAGGGGTCTGAGGGCTGGCCCTCATTTGGGGACAAGAGTGAGGGTTTGTCTACTTCCCTCCCCCCCATCCTCTGGCAGAAACTAACTGGACTTCACACCCGTGGACCTGGTGGTCCCACTGTGTTGAAACCCTTGGCAGCCTGAGAGCCCAAGGAACAAGCTGTGACAGCCAGGAGCCCCATCTGCGGGTGGCGCCCCCCAGGGGCTGGAGCCTGAGCCCTGTGGCTTCCCTCGGGTGGGCCTCTGGCTTGCGTGTGTGTATTGGAAAGTTCACGCTGAGTCGGTGCTGGAAAGTTCTTTGTGTTCAACTGATATTTAACACCCCCTCCCCTACTTCCTCCCAGCCTTGTGGGCGGGGTTGGAAACTTAGCACTTTATATTTATACAGAACCTTGAGAATGTGTCAATAAAATATTGTTTTGTTTAAAAAAATTTTTTTTGCAAGCATCTGGTCTTGAGTCAGTGTCTGGAGAAAGCCTCAAAAGCTGTTTCTTACCCAGGGCTCACCTCTCCTGGCGCTTGGGGCCTGGGAAAGGGAGGAGGAAGGTACGAAGGTGCCCTCGCTGGCAGGGGGTGCCCTCGGGGCCCAGCACTCCTGTGCTGGTGGCCTTTCCCAGGCATCATTCTGTCTCAGCTGCAGGAGCTGGTTTCTGGGTGACCGCTCCCACCTCGTTCCGGTTAGGGGCATTGGTCCTGTGGGGCAAGGCTGTGGCCATGACTCAGAACTAGGTCCAGCACTGCCCTGGTCAGACCTCACTTCCTTTCTGGAGCTCGTGCATAGAGGTGTGTGTGTACATATCCCTGTTTGTGCTGTCCTGTGGATAGGGGTGTCTTGTTCTTGGTCTACATACACCTATATATCACGTGCACGAGTGTTCCTACATCCCTGCATGTGTCTGTGTGTGTTTGCGTGTGTGGCTCTTTCTGTGGCTGTGTGTGTGCCAGGCCTCTCCACTTGCCCCCCGGCCAGCAGCACAGCCTCTCGCTTTCACATTCCTGGATGGGCCCATGATACCCCGTCCCAGAGCTCCTTGTCCCCAGGAGGCATGTGACATGGTGTCTGGTACTGAGTACATGTCATCAGGAATGGGTTTCATTGCTCTTCACACAGACCCCACGCGTGTGTCTTTACCGAACGCTGCTTACCAGCCCAGGGTGTCTAGGGAAAAGAAGGTATCGGGAGATGTGAGACCGGCCCAGCCCAGCCAAGTGGAAGGTGCTGCTGAGGCTGCAGAGTGGGCGTGAGGCCCCTGAGGACAGCTCTGTGGCGCCCATCCTGCTTCGGCCTCCACTCTGACTCCTGGCCACTCAGACACGCAGGGTGTCATCATCTGACTAACTTGGCCACCTTGGCTATTTCTCCATGTGCTGTTCAGTAGCAGTAAGCGTATTTATTTGCATTGTTGTACAGCGGATCTCCAGAACGTTTCCTTCTTACAAAACTGAAACTCTTGTTCCCATTTAAACAATAACTCCCATTGCCCTCCCAGCCCCTGGCAGCCACTGTTCTCCCCTGTCCAGGAATCTGTGCGTCTTTCCAGTGGGATCGCACAGTTTTGTCCTGTTGTGACTGACTGATTTCACTCAACATAACGTCCTCGAGACGAACTGCATTTCTTAACTAAGAATCTGTTTCTCAGCCCAAGCAGGGTGAGTGCTGAGCAATGGGATGACTGTCCCTAGCGAGCACTCTCATCTGAAGGATCGGCTCTATGTGCTGGTATCCCGCCTGGCAGTGGGGACCTCTGTCCTCATCACGTCTCCCGATGGCCCAGTCCCATTCTTATGAGAGACCTGGGCTCCAGGCACAGCAGGATGCCGAGAGGTGCTTAGGACCACACCTGGCATCTTTGGTTCTGTGGCTTCTCTTCACTGGAGTCCCCAAATCCTCTGCTGGCAGGATCTAAGTGCAGTGACGACCACATAGGATGGGCCTCTTGAAAGACTAAGGGGGTTCTGAGGTGCAGGAATAGGGGCAAGCAGCTTAGCTTTTGAACCTGTGGAGTGGGGAGGAATGGCGATGATGCACCTCTGTGTGCGGATCTAGGTATCCAAGAGGCTCCCCCTCCCCCAGGGCAGACCACAGCAGGCATCCAGCGTGTGAACTTTCCCTGGTTCCTGTGCTTGTCCCCTTTCTGTATGTGTGTGAACTTTCCCTCCTTCCACCGATAGACGGGGGAGCCTCTCGTCTCACGCAGCTTTCCCACATCTGAGCACAGGCAGGCTGGGGAAAGGGTCTCCCTGGGCTGGAGGATGAGGTCCCTCCTATGCTGGGCCTCACCGTCTTTCTTTGGTGATTCTCTGCCCCCTGGTGGTGAGAGGGCACCTCAGCAGAGGCACACCACCAGCGGGACGCCTCCCCCAGGGTGCCTTGTACCTGGCTTCTGGTCCGCTTTAGCCAGGCAGGAAGGATCTGAGGAGGGTCCAGAGGCTGGAGGTGGGGAGCTCAGGCAGGATGGGAGGGGCTGCAGGTGAAGTTGGTTGGGGGAGGGGCTACAGGTGGAATTGGTTGGGGAGAAGCTGAAGGTGGGGGCGGGAGAAGCTGCTATTTAAGGGTGGGTGACTTGGCCCTAATTAATTTGCCTCCTCCGGCCTGGGTTCCAGCTCCAGCTTGCTGAGGCTCAGTGGGCCCACCACAGACAGCACAAGCATGGGGGGCTTCTGGCCTTGGATGCTGGGTCTGCTCTCTTTGCCAGGTAAGCGGCTGCCTCACCCTCCTGCTTGGGCTTCAGTTTGCAGAGTGCTGGGCAGAGACAGGAGGGTGTGGGTGGAGCCTGCCAGGCTCTGAGTTGGTTTGAATGGCTCAAGAGTGGGCTCTCCAGGGATATTCCTAAGTCAACTCCAGGGCCCCCATGGGGAGGCCTCCTGAAGAGCCTGGAGCAGAGGCCTGCCTGGCAGGTGTGGCACTCCAGAAGCCTAGTTCTGCTGGCCTGGTGAGGCTTGCCGGGGCTGAGCCTGATTTCCAGAGGCCTGGGCTGAGAAGGGAGTTGTAGGGTAGCATCTGAGGCTGGCCCACACACACCTGCCTCCAGTGTTGCAGCCTGAGCTTTGTCCCTGTCCCTCCTTCCTGCTGTCCCCCCACCTCAGACACCCACATATTCTTGAGCAAGGTCTGCCTTTTGTAGCCGGAGTTGGTCCAGCTCAGGGAGCCCCTTCCTCAAAGCTGTCTAGGCCTGGGCACTGGCGGGGGCTGAGAGGTGTGGCCAGGCAGGCTCCCAGGACTGCCTGCTGGAGGCCTCCCTTGTGAAGGGAGGGTCACCCATCCCCTCCCACGTCCTGACACCTCTCCCACATGGGGGCGCGTGGGCCCATGTATGTCTGGGCCAGGTTTGATCCTAGGAGCGCCCCTGGCCGCCAGCTGTCCGGGAGCCTGTGGGAGCAGGTTCTCAGAAGGCCTCACCCCTGAGGGAGCCCAGACGTCTTGGGACAAGGACATCCCTGCGATTAATCAAGGTGAGGGCACATGTCTTGAGGGGGGAAGGGTGCAGCGGGGTGTGGGGAGACTGTGCTGACAGCTCAGCTGGGCAGAGACGCTGAGAGGAAGCGCACCCACTCGAGGGCTCTAGGGAAGTAGCGGTTCTCCCTGCAACTTCCCCAACCGGCTTCCTGTAACTTCTCCTTGGGGGCTACCTTTACAGAAGCGGGGACGCACAGGATTTGTGAATGGCCGAACAGAAGTGTGGGCTCTCTCTGTTTGGTGTCCAGCTCCGTCATTAGCGATGTTGGCAAACATGTGGGCCACCTGGTGCAGCATGGCCTGCAGGTGTGAGGGGATGGGCTGGGGATACAGAGCGAAGAGGCATGAGGCCAGGGCCTCCCTGTCTGGGGTCTCAGGAGGAGAAGGAGGACGCGATGTCCTGGGACCACGCTGGAGAAATACCGATGAGGGTCCAGATGTTGGAAGTTTTCTCCAGGGGAATGGTGACCTTGCCCTGGGGGGTGAGACTCTGCGGATGAGGAAGTCATGTGTGGGCTGCCCCCTTCTTTCTGTGAGCCGATTTGGAGCACCGGCACTGCTGAGCAGGAGCAGGGCAGGGCACTGCCTCTGGTGACCCTGACCTGTCTGGGGGTGGCAAGACCCACATGGAGGCTTCCCTGGCATCAGTTTTTAGATTCCATGGAGAAAGCTTTTTGCTACTACCCTGTTTCCCCGAAAATAAGACATCCCCTGAAAATAAGACCTAGCGCAACTTTGGGAGAAAAAATTAATATAAGACACTGTCTTATTTTCGGGGAAACAGGGTATTGCTGGCTGCCTGGGCAGCATTTCAATGAGCCTCCATTAGCAGCCGGAAGCACACGGTCCCAGCTGCCGGGAATGCTGGCTGCTGAGGCCTCGCAGCTGAAGGCCTTTGGCCAGGGATGTTGGGAAGCTGCCCTCCACTGCCTGGGGGCCCACAGTGACTCACGGGTGCATGCATGTGGCCCCTGCCTTAAGGCGGGACAAGTCCACGGCGCCACGGGGGCCCAGAGCTCTGCTGGATGGTTACCGGGAAGGTGAACCTGGCCCTTGGCGGGTCTGCCTAGGGCCTGCCCATAGTGTGTGGGTTTTTGTCTTCGTGCAGCAAACATTTCCCAGCAAACATTTCCCAGCACAAGTCCAGCTAGCAGTGAAGGAATGTTTATTAAAGCTGGGGACAGTAAAACAAGAAAGGGCTTAGTATGGAAGAGGCAACAGGAGAGCCTAGGCTGGGCTGCCCTAGCTCTCTGGGAAGTCAGAAAAAGGGGGCCTTGGGATGAGCTTGCGACGAGCTGTTGCTGCCCATCGCTCCCCAGGTTGCAAGTCTCATGGGGTCCCTTAGCGTTTAGGAGATGCGTGCCCTCGGGGGAGGAAGTGGTAGAAGAAGAGGGAAAAGGGGATGGCGGGGCTGCTCCCCAGAGGGAGAGCACAGTGGGGACCTTTGTCTTAGGCTTCATCTTTCTCATAGGCTGGAATTTTAGGGGAGGGTTTTAGCAGATTATTCATCAGTTTCCTAGGTGTGTTCCTCGGGGGTCGTGGTCTTCACTGATGGGTCAGTGTCAGGGCAGGGCGTGGATAGTCATTGTAGCTGGTCCTCGTGTCACCCACCTGGCTTTGCTGCTTTTCTGGGTCTGGAGCTGAAATACAACTGAGGCCTACATGCTATGTCTAGGGAGGTATCCTCTGGCTCTGTTGTGAACTGCTCAGTTTGTTCAGCTGTCTCAGTTTCCCTAGTCCACCTGTCCTGGCTCCCTGGCCTGTCTCAGGGTCAGGCTGAGGCTACCCTCCAGCTGAGCCATTTCTCCCCAGCATGCTCCCTCGCCGGTTACTCAGAATTGGAAATTGTTGCCAGCTGGCTCCTGGCTTTGGCTCTTCTAGGGAACCCAGCCTCAGGCCCTCCTCCAGGAGTCCTCATGGGGCTTAGATGTGGGGAAAGAGGCTGTGGAGAAGGGCTGCAGCTGCGGCAGAAATGGAGGAGAAGAAAGGAGAGACAAGCTGGATCGGGGAGCGGGAGAGAGCCAGTATTCACCCTCCTCCTAAGAGGTGTGGGCTGGAATTTCTGTCACTTGTCACTGCAAAGGTCCTGAATACCACACAGGGGAGCAGGGATTAGAGGGGCAGGAATTCGATGGGGAGGAGGTGGGACAGAGCCCAGGGCATGGTCTGAGGGATGTGGCTGGGCGGGGGTGATGGAGACACTGGAAGAAAGACTGCCTCCTGACAGCGGAGGGCCTCTGACCCAGGAGGCAGGAGTTGGTACTGGCTTGTGGCCATCATGGGAGCCATGGACTGCCTTTGGGCAAGGCTGAGAAGCCTTCATCAGGCTGAGAAGCATCTCATTTTCGTAGAAGGTGGCTCACAGGATCTACCCAACTTGCCCGAGGCCCAGGGAAGAAGAGCCTCGGTGCCCAGAGTTGGAGGAACAAACCCGGGGCAGCTTCTTCTGCCAGCCACGGCCTCTGAGATGCTGTCCCTAAAGCACGTGCTCTGGGGGCCTGGGCCCACACACCTCTCTCTCTCCCTTCCTTCCCAGAGCTCATCCCTGAGGAAACTCCGGAGAGCAGTTTCCTCCTTGAGGGAGACATCCTCCGGCCGGTGAGTGAGTGGGAGCTAGTATAAGTAACCTCACAGATAATGATAGATGCTTTTGAACCCCCTCTCACCCCCAGGTGTCGTGGGGGGAGGGCAGTGACATGGGAGGGATCTCTTTGTTGCTCATAGCTTGGTAGACACCCTTTCTTGCCAAAGTCAGAGTGAAGGTTCTCTTAGGAAGAGCCAGCCTGAATGGGAAGAAAGGGTAACATCTGGAATGGTGGTAGGCTGGGAGGGCTCCCTGAAGGAGGGGGTTTGAGCCCTCAAGACCCAGCTTGGTACCCTGTCCAGGGGAGATGCTCAGGAAGTACTGGGGTGAGGGGAGAGCTGAGCACAGGTTGGCAAAGTGGCTGGTAAGGCTGTGGGAGGTGGTGGTGGTCTGGGGAAGACAGAACAAGAAGTAAAGCAGACATCGTCATGGCAGGGGGTGGCAGCAGAGTCAGAAAGGGAGCAGGAGGGATGGGAATGGGGGCAGGATTGTGGGGGGACTAGCCAGTGGGGAAGGAAGCGCTCTGTGTTTATGAGAGCACTGCCATCTTTTAGGAGACGGTGATGACAGAGGCTCCAGAATGGGGCAGTAACCTGGTGAGAGTAAGGCTGTTCTATGGCTTGGAGGCTGCCTGCAAGTGGTGCGGCATGAGACTGGCTGGGCTGGCTGGCTAGGAACCCAGGGCCAGGGCCAGGCAGGTAGCCCAAGGCGAGGCCCCTGTCCCCCATTCCCCAGGGAGTGCCTGGAGTAAGAACAGAATCCAGTAAAGCCTCTGGCCTGTGGGGCAGGACATGCCAGATGCTGTGAAACCTGTGCTTCAAAGGGTTTAGGTTGGTGGACGAAAAGCGGAGAGTTGCCGAGGCCAAGGGAGTGCATTAGAATCAGGCGGGGGAGGAGAGGGAAGGGGCTGCCCCATCTCCCCACTGCACACTCAGGGTGCTTGGGAGCTGCTGTGCTCCCCGAGCACCAGCACCAGGAGAGGGAGGGTGTGGGGTGGGGTGCAGTGGGGGAGGGTGCTGGGACTCCTAGCCAACCTCTCCAGAGTTGAGTGCTTTATTGGCTTGATAGAATTGGTAGCAAGTTCTGTGTTATGTGCACCGAAGTTCACATAGCTGAAGCCCAGCTTCTGCCCCATCTCTAATGGCCTCCCGCCCTCACATGCCCGTGTCCTGCCGCTCATATCTTTAGGGCTCTTGTGCCCTGAGGTGTGTCCCTCTTGGTGGCAGGAAGCTTGGCTGGTCTGTGTCCCCAGAGGTCCCTGAGTTAATGTCCTCTGTCCTCAGAGTCCTTTCCGCCTGCTGTCGGCTACAAACAACAAGTGGCCCAAAAACAGGGGTGTGGTGGAGGTCCCCTTTCTGCTCTCCAGGAAGTATGGTGAGTGAGCACTGGGAGCCCAGTGCCACCCCTCCTGGACCCTCCCCTCCCCTCCCGGCTCCGCCCCATCCACCCCTATCCCCAGTGCAGCCTGTGCTCCTCCCTGGGTTTTCTCCACTTCCTCTACAGGCCCAAGCCCCTCTCCCAGCACCACCCAGAGGGCCCTCCCCCAAAGGCCCCTCCTTTTTGAGGAAGGAAGATGTGGTACACACTAGTGTATACAATGGAGTACTACCCAGCCACGATAAAGATGAAATCTTGTATTTGCAACAACATGGATGGATCTTGAGAGTAACATGCTAAGTAAATAAGCGAGACCAAAATGATTTGGTCACTCATATGTGGGATATAAAACAAAAAGTAACCAACAAAGTAATAAAACAAACAGAAAAACCTCATAGTCTCAGAAGTCCTTTTATTCCTAGGGCCTCCTGAGCTGGGGCTGGGGGTGAGTTAAGATCCTAGAAAGCTGGTGGGAAGGTGTATTTGGGACACTCTGATCCATTTTGAGACCAAGTGGCCCAGAGGACAGTGACCGACCCAAGATCATACAAGCCATGTTCCGAGTGGAGCCCAGCTTTCTTCCCCTCATCACGCTGCCTTTCCGTGACACTCCACGTTTGGAGTGACTCGAGGCTGTTTCCTGCCCTGCAGGCAGACTTGCAGGGGGCAGGAGGGTTCTGGGGGCTTGTCTGGGTGTTCAGCCAGGTGTCCCCTCCCCAGATGAGCCCAGCCGCAAGGTCATCCTGCAGGCGTTTGCTGAGTTTGAACGTTTCACATGCATCCGGTTTGTGGCCTACCGTGGCCAGAGAGACTTCATCTCCATCATCCCCGTGTCTGGGTAAGTGCTCCTGGGTGTGTGCATGCATGTGCATGTGAGTGTGCATGCAGGGTGAGTTCCTCAGCTTTATTCTGTGTTCAGCCTGGAATGAACTAAGTCATTCTCTAAAACCTATTTCTGGGCCCGACCGCCCAGGTCCAAATACCTCTGTTCATTAAGCGACTTGCCCAATGTGAGCTGGGCCTATAGTGCGCAGGGCAGGAAGTGGGGAGGGAGGGAGTTTGGTGCTTGACCCTCTGTATGTAGCCTTCATCCCTAGGAGACCTCACGGGCTGGTGGGTGAGTGCAGGTCTGGTGGCACAGGCTTGGCCCCGGGACAAGTTTTGCAATGCAAGAGCTGGAGTCCCCTGGCTTCAGAGCCTCTTCTGCCTTCTCCTGAAAGAGGGGCATGCTGTTTCCTAGCTTGTCGGGGATCTAAGCTAATGTGTGGTAGCTTTGATCCGGGGTACCCTGTGTGGGCCCATTCACTCAGTGAGCTGCTTCTATTACCGTTATTATCAGTTCCTACCTCCTCTTTGCAACCCAGGCTGGTAAGGGAGCTCAGTGCATCCATTTCACAGAAGGCCAGGCGGTGAAGGAACTTAGGAACAGCCCTGGCCCATGTTGGTCTCATTCATTCCTTAACTAGGGAGGAGGGGAAGGGCCGGTTCTGTCTAGCTCTCTCTGGACCGGTGCCTACCCAGCTCACTCTCATGGCCCTGCAGGTGCTTCTCTGGCGTGGGGCGCAGTGGAGGGATGCAGGTGGTATCCTTGGCACCCACCTGTCTCCAGAAGGGCCCAGGCATTGTCCTGCATGAGCTCATGCATGTGCTGGGCTTCTGGCATGAGCATTCACGGGCTGACCGGGACCGTTATATTCGTGTCAACTGGAATGAGATCCTCCCAGGTAAGCCAGGTGGTGCACAAGCCACGTGGGTCTAGGAGTCCATGGAGAGAGCGGGCCACTGGTGTGGGCCAGTGTCTGAGGAGTTCCCTGGCTATTTGGAAGAGGTTGTCCATCTCCCTACCTCTCTGAGACCTGGGAGGTGGCCCAGATGCTGCTGTTCTGGGTTCTAAATCTTCACTTGCCCATCCGTAGTCTTGCTTGAGTTGGGGCACCACCATTTCTCCTCATGGACACCATCAGTTACCTGAGGATGGGCTGCTACTATCCTATGGACCTTATTCACTGTACACCCAACTAGCATTGCTCATGCACACAGCCATGTGGGTGGGGGCGGGGCTGAGCCAAGCAGAGGCCTGGAGGTAATGGCTGTGTATGTTCAGTGACAGATGCGGGTGACCAAGGGCAGTGCTGTGAGGGGGTACTGGGGGCATGTAGGGCTGAGGAAGCATGGGAGGCGGTCTGGGGAGTGGGCCACTGTACAGATGGCCTGTGTTCTTGGAACCATGCTGGGTACCGGGGGTTTGATCCCAGGCATGGGGGGGCGGGGTGTCTAACCTCGTGGGAGGATGGCCTAATTCAGGAGATAGAGGAATAGAGATGGGGAAGGGAGCAGAGGGGATGCATGGTCAGGGATTTGGTTTGGGGGGTGGGAGCAGAGTGGATGATGGTCGGGGGTTTGGTTTTGGGGGGTGGGAGTAGAGGGGATGCATTGTCAGGGGTTTGGTTTGGGGTGTGGGAGTAGAGTGGATGAAGGTTGGGGGTTTGGTTTTGGGGGGTGGGAGTAGAGTGGATGATGGTCGGGGGTTTGGTTTTGGGGGGTGGGAGAAGAGGAGAGGAATCAGAAGGCTTTCTGCAAGTAGAGGGCTTCTGAAGTGAGCGCCACCTCCCACAGTGCAGCACGATGCGCAGTCATAGGGCACTGTGGGGTTGGGCATGTGGGTGCCTAGACCAGCACCATGGAGTCCTAGAGAAGGGTGCCCTGGGGCATGGAGACTGGAGAGCAGAATTAGTCTAGGGAAGTGGGGGGGGGGGGGGGACACGACACGACCCTACCCTGGAAACAGAGACTATAACCTTCCAAGTGTCCATGGGATACTTGTGAAAACATACCCTATGACAGCAATAACACTTCCAATTTGAAAAAGTTAAAGTTAAACATTTTGTCATTATATAAAATAGAAAGTAGAAACTAATAACCAATCAAACCTACTTGGAAATTAAAGTTTAAAAAACAAAAAACAAATAGCAAGCCTTTCTCTTATCTCTGGGGTTAAAGAAATGGTGGAATTTTAAGAGAAAAAAATCATAAAGATGCATCAGAACCAACAGCTCACAGCTCAGGCAAGGCATACTTCTATCAATGGAATAGAGCAAAGGAAGCATTTCAGTGTAAGCTAAGAAAAATAAAGGGAAGCAGGAGGAATTAATGAAGGTAAAAGCAGAAATGAATGAGATAAGAAACAGCTCTTGAGTTTATTAGTGTTGTTTCCTAACAATAAAACAGGTGAAAGCACCAGCTACCCTAGTGGGAAAATTGCTTAAGAATTGTAAAAAATGAGACTATTTGCATTTATTGATAGTTAATATGTAACAGAACACAGGCTGCTAGGATATGCAAACTGCTCACAGTAATTAGCTGTGGGAGCGGAGACATGGGGAACTCAGAAATGGGTGGACGGGGAGACAGTGTATACCTAAAATTTTTTTATTTTTGAACCAGATGACTATATTGCCTATTCCAAATTGTTTAATAACGGAAGGGTTTTTTAAAAGGAATAAATAAGCACTGTCTAGGGGCACTCCACCTGGTGGGTAGGGGGCATCCAAGGCTCTGTGAGAGCTAGTGCTTCATGGAAGCTGTAGGTTACAGACTACTTTATACAGGGGAGCTGGAGATGAGGAGGACAGGCGAAAAGTGCTATAAGCTACTCCTAGGATGGGGTAGTAAGCGGGGATCAGTAGGAGTGGGGGGGGGGGAAGGAAAGGGGGGCAGAAAGAAGCACATTCAGCAGTAGTTTTGAATCCCTCAGCTTAATTAAGTAGCTTATAAAGTCCCAGAAGCCCCCTATTCACCACCCCGCCCCCACCTGTTCTCTTTCCCCACTGATAAATGCCTTTTCAGGCTTTGAAATCAACTTCATTAAGTCTCGGAGCAGCAACATGCTGGTGCCCTATGACTACACATCTGTGCTGCACTATGGGAGGTGAGTCCCTTTCCTCCTCTTCTCCGTCCGCACTGCCTGGCAGCCCTGTTGGGATCCAGACTCAGATTCTGCCTGCTGGGTTCCAGGCTCGCCTTCAGCCGCAGCGGGCTGCCCACCATCATGCCACTCTGGGACCCCAGTGTCCACATCGGCCAGCGACGGAACCTGAGTGCCTCGGACATCACACGCATCCTCCGGTTTTATGACTGCAGCCCAAATGACCCCAGCCCCCAGGGAAGAGGTGAGTGACAGGAACAGGCCTCTTGGAGATGCCTGTCTCTGCCTGCTCCTGTGTCTCCCTCAGCCCTGGAGGATGCTGGGACTGGAGGTGACATTCTCTAGGGCTCTAGGGCCAGAGGAGCCCGGAGAAGGTCCCTGTACTGAGGAGCTGTCAATGAGGGGAGGGGGGGGGGTGTGTGTGCCGTGGGAGCTGAGGTTGCAGAGGTCAGCAGGGCGAGGCAACCAGGGGCTAAGATAACCAGTTGTCCATTCAAAAAATATGAAGTATTAACTCATATCACGCACAAAGAAACTCCGGATGTACCTGAGACTTAAAGTAAATAGAAAAACTTGAACGCTTCAGCAGGGGCATGGTGGGTTATGTCCTAGAGAGGAGCCTTGTATCCCTATGGATAGAGCTGAAGGCGGCTCTGGCTCTCCAAGGCCGGACCCACACTTTCTCCCTCTGGTTCTGGGACATGACCTTCTGTCTCTCCTGCTCCAGAGTTCCAGGCCCATGGCATCGATGGGAGCCCCACTGCTGCCCCTGGACCACGCCTGCAGCGGCTGCTGGAGGCATTGCTGGCAGAGTCCAGGAGCTCCAGCCCCAGTGACCCCAGGGCTGGAGAAAGCCCGCTGGAGTGGGAGCCCTCCGTCCTGGGCAAGTCTGGTGTGGAGGCCTCCGCAAGGAGGCCTCAGACCTCAGCGTCCTCCGCAAGCTCACGGTCTGGCTCAGCTGCTCCTGGGGGGGCCCTGGAGTGGTCCCCGCAGGCCCACATGTCCACTATGCCCCTAGTGCCATCTCCAGAAGACCAGCCAGCGCCTATCTGGGCTGTTTGGGGAAAACCAGCTCTGGGGAACTTCCTGGAGACACCCAGAGATCAAGCCTGTGGCTTCTGTCCCCAAGTGGGAAGAGCATCTTCTGTCCGGAGCAGCTGGGCCAAACAACCCTTGGCCTCTCTAGGTGATACTCCTGTCTTCCAGCCCCAGACTGACCTCCCTGTCTGAGACCCAAGCCTCTCCTTCTGCCCCTTCCTTCCATACCATGTTCTCCCGAGGCTCCTGGGGACAAAGGTCTGTCAGGGGACGCAGGCCTGTTGGGGGTGCCTGGCTCTGCCTGCTCTTATGTCTCCCTCAGTCCTGGAGGATGCTGGGACTGTAGGTGATATTCTCTAGGGCCAGGGGACTGAAGGGGTGAGGAGGAAGATTCTAGGCTTCCTTCAAGGCTGAGGAAGTCCTGTGGAGCTGAGGCCCAGCCCCCCAGCATGGACTACCAGTACTGGCCCCTCTCCCTCGGGCCAAGCCTGGAGGGGAGTCACGTGGCTGGGACTGTGGGAGCAGCTTCCTGTCTGCTAGGAATGCTGGCCTGCACCTCAGCCTCCAGCCTGCTCTCGGGAGGGTTTCAGAGCCCATCCTCCCCCCGCCTCCCCCCCCAGCTCAGGCTCCAGAGTCAGGGTTGTCGCCCAGAGGGAGATGAGGAAGAGGTGGGGGCCCTACAGGACTACACAGTGGGAAGTCACCAAGAACATGAGGGCTCTGAACATAGGACTCAAAGCTCCTTTCCAGCCTGCGTTGCTGTTCCTGGAGCCTTGTCTCCCCAGAGGCCCTGAAAGGTGGAGAGGGGCGGGCAAGTCAGCCAAGCTCACTCTCTTCCTCAGCTCCTGGCCCCTCTGGTGAGGGCTGTCTTGGAGCGAAGAGCACCTCCAGGGATGCCTGGAAACAGCCAGGAGCCCCCTGGTGGCACTTCCTGTGGCTCAGGGTGGGAGGGAATAAAAGCCCATGCCCTGTCCCAGGAGGGCCAGCACCTCGGATGTTCTGGGAGGCAGAAATAAAGTTGGGTATTTGCTCCAGGGGTGGGCACTGATCTGTATTGATTACCTCCCCACGAGCTCCCCTCCTCCCAAACAACTCCGTCTCCCCCCCCACCCCCCCCACGAGTGCCTTTGTACCTCACTGCCCTGGGTGGGCCCTCAGGTGGTCATACCAATTTTCTGGGGCGGGGGGGGGGGGAGACTGAGGCTGAGGTTCAGCCTTTGCCCATCTCAGGGGACATGTGGGCTCACAGGGCACTAGAGCCCCTGCCCTCAGTTTCTCTTGGATCAAGGATTTTCTGAGACCGAACAGGACTCTGATCTCCGGCATTAGCTTTGGAGAAGGCTCATGTGGGGAAATGCTGTCCACTTACTCCAGAATGGACAGGTATCTGAGTGAGTTTAGAGTGGGCGGCTGGGGGCTCTGGCCATGGCCCTAGCAGAGGGACCGCTCCCCTGGGAGCACCCTAAGCTAAGTCTTTGGGCCAACCCTAAGCTAGACCTGCACCTGTAGTGCCTTGTTTGTCAGAGAAATGAGTGACTGCCTCAGCCTGGTGGCCTCTGGCTCTGGGCTGGCTTTCCCCCATGGTCACATGGAGGAGGTGACATGCTTTGTGCCCTTGAGGTCCTCCCAGCTCTGAGGCTTCCCATCACAGGCCTCCATTAATATGTGGCTTTGGTCTCAGAATGTGCACACTTCAGCGAGTGAGGTGGGGCTGGTGGGATGTGGAAGGCGAAGAGTGCCCCTCCTCTTTGGGAGTGATCAGGGATAAAGCTGTCCTTGCCATGTCCTTCCCTGGGAGGCCACCTCTCACCACAGCCCATTGCCCAGGCCAGCTCTGGGCCCAGACCTGTTTCACAAGCCCCATCCTGTCTGTGGGTCCAGCCCTGGCTCGGACCCTGGAGCTCCAGCATGGGGGTGTGGTATGTGTGGGGCTCTGGGGTGTTAATTAGAGCAGGTGGCTAGCCACTCCACCCCAGGGTCTGTGGCCTGTTCCCCAATCCCCAACCACATGGCTATGTGGGCTCACTCACCACTTCATTCACTCGGTCCACACATCTATTATGAATTAGGTGTCAGGCAGGTTCAGTTAGAGGCACTGGGAACAGCATGGTAAGCAAGGCAGGGTTTCTGTTCTCATGGAGTTTATTCAGGGGTGGGGAGAGGGATGGAAGGTCCGCAGGCAGGTAAGAAAGCACTTGGGATTGTAAGTGATGGAGGAGGGCAGCATTCCTGTAGGGTGTTGGCATCTCTGAGACCTGAATGACAGGATGAGGCTACCCTGTGATAATCTGGGGAAAGAGAAGCCGGTACAAAGACCTGAGCCAGGAAGAGGAGGGGCTGTCAGGCCGGAGTGAATGGGAAATGAAGAGCAGGGAGCAGACAGGGCCAGGCCAGTCAGAAGGAGGGTTTTATCCAAGAGCAGCAGGAGCAGCTGCTAAGAAGGGGAGTGATAATATCTGGTTTAATATTTAAAAAGCCATTCTGGATGCTCTCAGAAATGGATGGGATCATGGAGAACAGCTGGAAGCACTGCAGTTGCACAAGCAAGAGCCAGGGGGCTGTGGGATGGGCAGAGGTGGGTGCTTTTGAGTGTGTGATGGAGGTGAAGGAACCTACACCTGCGATGGGTGCAGGGGTGAGGGTACCCTGACAGCACTGAGGACCGAGGAGGGAGGCAAAGCTCAGGGAAATGGGTGTTAAGTCTGGGGCTGTTAGACTGGAATGAGTGGGCAGGGAGCACGTGGGCTGACAGCCTAATGGCTTCCACTTTCTCCTGAGTGGGAGGCAAAGTCACAGCTTGGCGGGAGTGGGGGGTGAGGAGAGTGAAAGCAAAGCCAATTCTGAAGAGGGGAGCCCAGCTCTAGGAAAGTCTGGAGATGTGTGGTTGCAAGTTGAAAGCAAGGCAGTCGATACAGTGAGTGTTCTGCTCCGGAAAGGGCAGCCACTTGGTCAAAGGCAGAAAGTGGAGGATGATTTACTTCTGACCAGGGTTGGGGTTTGTTAGGTGAGTGTAAAGGAGGAAGGAGGATGACTGACATTAGAGGGCACTGCTCAAGGGCCTGGGAAAGGGTGAGGTTGGGTCAGACAGGGTGGGCTGGGGAGAAGAGTCCCAGGGACTTGAACAGCTGGGCTTCAGGCGCTCACCCTGCTGGGCCCGGAATGGCTGGAGCCCTGGCCTGGGAGCACCGGGCCCAGTCTTGCCGCTCAGGCTGCAGAAGTGGCTTCAGAGCCTCTAGCTAAGACGGCACAGCTCTTGCTGCACTCTCACAGCTGGGACTGAACAATGTCTGCCTCCCTTGGGAAACATGGTACCAGGTCACCTTTCCCCCAGGGCCCCTCTTTCCAAGGACATCCCTCGAGGGCACCTTCATGTGGGCGCTCTACTTATCCGAGAAAGGCTGATGTGTATGTCATCCATTGATATCTGTGCCATTGCCTGTCACCAACAAGCTTAGCCATATATTGGGGACAGAAGAGATGTCTGTTCTGATGGAGGGAGTGATGCAATATATCCATTGGCCGCCATCTCAGTACAGTGCTCTGAGCATGACAGAGGTGCTGTGTGCATGGAATTAATGAACTTGGACAATAGGGTACCTTTTTCTGTCTGAGAGAGTGGTGACAGGTGAGTGTACCTTAAAGAGAGAGGGGGACCCACCAAGCACAGGGGAAAGGGTGAGGAGAGTGTTTCTGACAGAGCAAACAGCCTGGAAAGGATTGGAGATGTAGGAGCTCAGGGCATGTCCAGGGACCAACATGTACATAGCCTGGTGGGGTGGGAAGAGGTGAGGTTGGGTCAGACAGGGTGGTCTTGGGAGAAAAGTCCCAGGAAGCCTGACCAGTCCCTGTGCTAGGCAGCTCCTGCTGCTGGCGGGCTGTAGGTCTGGGCCTGAATCCTGCCTGGTGGAACAGGATGGCAAGGGAAAGTCAGGTCTACTTGAAGGAAGCCTGCTGTGGCCCGAGGCTCTGATTCAAGCATGGCTGGATGGAACAGGCACCGGAAAGTGTGTGTGGGGGAGATGGAGAGCTGCAAAGAGGAGCAGGAATCCAGTTATATAAAGGCCCAGCTGCCTCCTAAGCCAGACTTATGCAGGTGACACAGAGCATGGGGTGGTGCCTGAGCCTCATGGGTGCTTGTAGACTGTCCCTGGCTGTCTCCACCCAGGCTGGTTCCCAGCAGGGCCTGGTGTTGGGTAGAGCTGGAGCCCCTTCAGGAAAGCCCAGGTGAGAACCCTGAGGGGGGCTTGCGTGGGTCAGGGGAGGGAGTAGAGCAGCTCTGGCCTCAGCTCCTGCTGTGAACCTGGCTTTATAAAAAAATGGGCTGGAGACAAAGGCTGATGCGGGCGGTAGTGTCTGGACTCCTGGCTTGGGTATGATTGGTGAGGGTGAGAAGTGGTCCTTCCCAAGCCCCTTTGGGCCAGCAGAGCCCTCAGACTGCACGGCCCCGGACAGGAGCCATGGGACAGGCAGGAACTTGCTTCAGTGGCCGCACCTTCAACTCCAACAGTCACCCTCTGCCCTTCCTCGGGGAAGGGGTCACTGAGACCTCTCCATCCCTGCCAACTGTAGGTCCAGCCCTGCCCAGGCCAGCAAGTGGGGAGGATGCGTCCATGAAACCTGCCTCTGGATAGGGCAAGAGAGGCTGGCTGCCCTCTTGGAGCCCAGTCCAGACAACACCAGACCCACTTGGCTGTGGGCACTTGCACCTAACAGAGGGGCTGGGTAGGCGGATAGCCCAGGATCAAGGAGGAACACACGTCCACGTCCCTACCACATGGCTGCTGGTTGGGGGGCCGCCCATCTGAGCCTGGGTAGGGATGAGCCATTGTCTGTGGGCATCAAGAGAGCGTACCGCCTGCTCCCACGAGGATGGAGCTGAGAGGAAGGTCCGGGGCATGCTGGCTCAGGAGGTCCCGCCACACAGCCCTACTGCCCTAGGCAAACAGACACAGAGGGTGGCATGCAGCCCCGTGTGCTGGAGATTCCAGGTCGGGCTGGAGTGACAGCATGAGGAGCTCCTAAAGCGGCGTAAAGAGCACCCCTAAGGCTGCCCAGGCGGCCCTGGGGGTGGTGGCCGCAGGGAGGGTGGGTAGGAGCAGGGTGCTTGAGGAAGAGCAGGGCTCGACAGCTCTTGGAAGCCAGGATGGGGTGGGTGGGGTGTGTGCTTGGTCAGAAATTTCTTTTTACCCCAACTCCTCTTCCCAGGGCCACCCCAGAGGGGCCCAGAGTGGACAAGGAGCAAGGGAAGCTCCTCTCCACGCTGCCCCTGAGACCCCCACCAAGTGTCCTTGTTCTGGGCAGGAGGACATCCTCTTCCTCCAGGTCAAGGGGCTGAGCTTGCCCAGAGCCCCCAATCCCCCAAAAAGCCTACGCTGCTGGGATTGGAGTCCCCTTACCTCTTTGCCCTTCATGGAGGAAACCGAGGCAGCTGCAGGAGAAGCAGGACAGCCGAAGCCATAAATCTCTGAGCACTTGCTTGCTCCACAGCTTGGAGCGTTTTCAGCGATCCCGATGCCGCGGAGCCATGGTGGCGCGGTGCGCCGTAGACAGCGGCAGGGGGCGCTCGCCACCCGGCCACGGGCACCTCCCTGGGCTTCGCAGGCCTGACGGAGCCCAGTCTGGTTGAGAACGCTTTAGGAAGAGGGTTTGGGGTAGTCTTCGGCGTCCCCAACACTTCCGTAGGCTTCTTCTTTCTCGGGCACCAGCGTTGTTGCGGCTCGTTGGGCTTATTATCTGGCGCCCGACACCCATCCGCCCTCTCCTTGGGGTTCCGGGCGATGGGAGCAGTCATCAGCTCGAGCCCACCGACCTAGCCTCCCGCCCCTCCCTCAGCCCCGCAGCCCGTAGGGGAGAGGTCCCCTGGGTGCCCGCGGCCAAGCTCGCGCAGCATCCCTGCTCCCGTCACACCGACTTGCCACTCCCGAGAGCATCCCTCCAGCTTTCCAAAGACCCCAGATGCGGGCCCCTTCGGACCCCCGCGCTCGAAGCTGGAGGAAGGGGCAGGGGCGCGGGCGCCGACGCGGAGTCCAGCACCCCCGAGGCTGTGGCGCCCCTCCACCCAGCCACGGCCTGCGACCCGCCCCGCACCTGCCCCGCCTCCTCCCCCGCCTCCAGTCTCCTCCCTCCCGCAACCGCTACTCCGCTCCCCACTCGCCTGCGGACGCTGGCTGCCTGCAGGCGCGGCTCCCGGCCCGAGCCCGCGAGCCCCCACCGCGGCTCCTCTGAGGACCGGCAGCGCACACCCCCGCAGCCCGTGGGAGCCCCGCGCCCCGAGCACGTCCAGCGGCCTCCGAGGGGGAGGGCGCAGCTTCCCCCCAGCCCTCGGTGGGGCGGGGACGCAGCGGGACAACTTGGAAAACTTCTCCGGGCGGACTGCGGGGACGGACGCGGGCGCTGGTGGAAGAGGACGTCGGGGAGCAGTGCCTAGTCCCAGGACCCCCCAACCTCCCGGCCCCACTGGCCTGGCCCTGGGGAATCCTCGCTTCTCCGGCCGCGCTGGGGGGCCAACACTGTCGCCCGCTGTGCTTGCGCTGGGCAAGCAACGCCCCCTCCGGCCAGCTCTACCATGGACTACCAGAAGCCCTACTCGGTGCAGGCCACCGCGGCCATCGCGGCGGTCATCTCCTTCCTCATCCTCTTCACCATCTTCGGCAACGCACTGGTCATCCTGGCGGTGCTGACGAGCCGCTTGCTGCGCGCCCCGCAGAACCTGTTCCTGGTGTCCTTGGCTGCCGCCGACATCCTGGTGGCCACGCTCATCATCCCGTTCTCGCTGGCCAACGAGCTGCTGGGCTACTGGTACTTCGGGCAGGCGTGGTGCGAGGTGTACCTGGCGCTCGACGTGCTCTTCTGCACTTCGTCCATCGTGCACCTGTGCGCCATCAGCCTGGACCGCTACTGGGCGGTGAGCCGCGCCCTGGAGTACAACACCAAGCGCACCCCGCGCCGCATCAAGTGCATCATCCTCACCGTGTGGCTCATCGCAGCCTTCATCTCGCTGCCGCCGCTGCTCTACAAGGGCGACCCCGGCCCCCAGCTCCGCGGGCGCCCACAATGCCAACTCAACCAAGAGACCTGGTACATCCTGGCCTCCAGCTTCGGGTCCTTCTTCGCACCCTGCCTCATCATGATCCTCGTCTACCTGCGCATCTACCTGATCGCTAGACGTAGCCACCACAGAGGTCCCAGGGCCAGGAGGGGTCCTGGGGAGGGTGAATCTAAGCAGCCCTGCCCAGTCCCTGGGGGAACGTCGGCCAAACTGCCGACCCTGGCCTCCCATTTGGTTGCTTCTGAAGAGGCCAATGGGCACCCTAAGCCCGCTGGGGAGAAGGAGCAGGGAGGGACCGCTGAAGACCCTGGGAACCCAGCCTTGCCATCCAGCTGGCCTGCCCTTCCCCACCCAGACCAGGGTCCAAAGGAAGGTGTTTGTGGGGCATCTCCGGAGGAGGAATTTGAAGAGGAGGAGGAGGAGGAGGAGGAAGAGGAGTGTGGACCTCAGGCCATGCCGGTATCCCCTGCCTCAGCTTGCAGCCCACCCCTGCAGCAGCCGCAGGGCTCCCGGGTGCTGGCCACCCTGCGGGGCCAGGTGCTCCTGGGCAGGGGCATGGACGCCGCAGGCGGGAAGTGGTGGCGGCGGCGGCGGCGGGCTCAGCTGACCCGGGAGAAGCGGTTCACCTTCGTGCTGTCTGTGGTCATAGGCGCCTTCATGCTCTGCTGGTTCCCCTTCTTCTTCAGCTACAGCCTGGGTGCCATCTGCCCAAAGCACTGCAAGGTGCCACAAGGCCTTTTCCATTTCTTCTTCTGGATTGGCTACTGCAACAGCTTGCTAAACCCTGTCATCTACACCATCTTCAACCAGGACTTCCGCCGTGCCTTCCGAAGGATCCTTTGCCGCCAGTGGACCCAGACGGCCTGGTGAGCCAACCGCCTGCCTGCTGCCCTCATGGGGCTGATGCCAGGTAGTGCCAGGGCCACACTGCCTCCTGCCCTGTTTTATGTGAACTAGGCACAGGGCTGTTCGGTTTCTGCCCAGGTAGTGCAGGCAGCACCTGGGAGGGGGAGGGGCAGGGGTGCTGTTCCCAGGGTCTGTGCTAAGCCTGTTGCTGGCTTGGCGGTGGGGGGACGTCTTCTCCACGCCCTGCCTGAGTGCAGGCGGAGGAGGAGGCCTGAGCCCTCCTGAGTGCGGCTGAGGTCAGACTTGGATAGAGCCTGGCCTTCCGGAACCCCAGAACCCTGAAAACTTCCTCGAGGGCCTTGTGGTCCCTGGCAGGCCACTTGCTTGTGGTGTTTTGTTTCTTTTTCATCTTCCTCAGTAAAGAGCAGGAAGCCAGCCTTCCATTCTCCCCGGGAGGCCGAGGAGGAGGCAGAAACAAGGATGGCCATGCATCCCCATGGAGGACCCGTGGCTTCCACTGGGCACCGGGTGAGGGTTTGCAGGCTGACTGTCCCTGGCCCTTCTCCCCCTTCCCCTGCTTTTGGATTTGTAGCTCCTTTGAAGGCAGAAGCTGTGATCTGAGTCCCACGCGGCGCAGCTCTGCAGGCCTGGCCTCTGCCTCAACAGGACATTCCCGCTCCCTAGCAGCCACCCCTGCAAAATCCAGGGCAACAATAGCTTGCTGCCTACCTGCTGCAGGGAGATGAAAGGCGTTGCACAAAGCTTTGAGCTCCATGGGGGAACCTAGAGACCCAGCAAATGTGATTATTTGGTGATCTGAAAGCCCCGACTTTGTGTTTACCACCACCCGCCTTCCATAGACTTTAGTTCTGAGCCTGGGGTGGGTGAATTCCTACCCCAAACTGGAAGTGGGGGGTGGCAGACAGAACCACTATTTCAGTTAAAGGAATTCTTTGAGAATGTGTCTTGTGCCTACAAAGGTTTGAGTTATTATGCTGCATGACAACTTGGCATTTCACCTGCAACACCAAGAGCGTTTTCTGTGGGGGATAAGTCTTTTGTCATCAAGAAGGCAAATTGTTTCCTCAAGACAGCTAAAAATATCCACATCCTGGGAATGGTCTGACATGAGAGCCATGTCATGTGCCAGGTGAGAGAGCTCCCAGGAGGGATTCTGGGCTGAAGCAGGTGAGCAAGGGCCCTCTGGACACCTGGGGGAGCCTCACGGCTCAGTGCCAGGCAGGGCTCTAAGGCCCAGATGGGCCCCAATGATCCCACCTCGGATGGGTGCGGATGAGTGTTGGCTGGCCACCTCCAGCCCAGCCATGTGGCTCTCCCCATTGATGGGGCATCAGGAGCCTCTTCCTCCTGGTTCTCACCGCCCCCAACCCAGACACTTGAACCCAGAACAATTTGCAGCATGTGAAGGATGGTTCCCAGGGCCCCCACAGGAGTGCCTGACTTCCACAGTAAGCCAGTGGGGTCATCACTGGGGTGGGCTAAGCAGCAGGGACTGTTGGCATCCCTATGGCCAGAGTGCGAGGGGTGCAAGGGGTATTTTCTGGGTTAGAGAGAATGGAGGAGACCAAAGGGAGTCCCTCAGTTTGTTCCTCAGTTTCCGTGTGAGGCCAGGGCACTGCCCTGGGGCAGGGCTGGGTAGGTAGGTGGCCCTGAGGGAGGGGCTGACTTGTGATATCTGCTGACTGGTCTCAGTAGATGATTCTGTTGCCTGTGGCCTCCTTATTGTGATATGAAGATGTTTTTTAAAGGTCTGAGCTATTTTATCAATAAAAGATATTTTGTAATAAGCATGCTGTGTCGTCGTTGCCCAAGGGCTGCCGGCCGTAGTTATTCCTCAGCTACCTGTAGCAGACTTGGCATGGGCCAGATGCCCTGCCCTCCTCCGACTGTGGCCAGCTGGTACCCACTCATCTGCCCGCTGCTTTGTCCACAAATCATCCCTTATTCCTCATTATAAGACAGTGAGGGTAGACATAGCCATGGAGCCTGAGGCTGGCTGCGTGGGGAAGGAGGAAAGGGAGCCTTACCAGAGGAGGTGCCCTTTGGGCTGGGACTCAGGGAAAGAGCAGGAATACCCAGAGGCAAGCTAGGGAGGAGTTTCAGGCAGGGAAACAGCACATGCAAAGGGTGCTGTGTGCTGGATTTGACAGCTTGAGAGTCAGCAGGAAACTGGCCTTGCTGGGCAGTCAGGAGCAGGAGTGGGGCCAGCAGAGGTGATCGAACACCACCCACGTGGCATGAGCAGGAAGAACAGGGCCCTCTGTGGAATGTAAGCTGCTGTCTCCAGCGAGGGCAGGAGGTGAGTGGAGCTGATTTGCTGAGATTCAGCCACTACGTCTGAGCTGGAGTCTCCTCATTTCCAGAAAAAGCACCTGAAGCCCCAAAGCACCCAGTGCACAGGAGTCCAGTCCTCCAGGCCTCCTGGTTCACCTCAGGGAGAGCAGCTCAGGCCCACACAGCAGGTTGGCTGCAGGGCCAGCAGGAGATGGGGCTGGTTAGGGAGGTGCCAGGGAGGAACAGGGAGGCCCAGGTGTGGGCCACCCTTCACCTGTGACCCAGGATTCACACTTCCAAGGGCACAGCCTTTGCCAGGGGAGACTCCATATGTCCACCAACACTGGTGGACTTGGGGACCTGGAGCTCTGCTGGGGCTTAGCAAGAAAGCCAGGCTCTGCCCTGAGGAGCTCCCAGCCCTTCCCACCAGCCTGCACCCACTGCCAGGGCCCCGAGGCCTGATTAGGGCAGATCAGAGCAGTTCATCTGTTCCCTTGAGTCATTGCTTTTCTGGAACTCTGTCTGATTGGGGTCTATAAGGGGCGGGCACATGGGTCTGGGGGAGGAGCTCCCTCCCAGTCTCCAGATGGTGGCAGAAAAAGGGCCCACTGGAACTGGACCTTTGGCATCTCATTTGGAATACATCAGCTCCCTTTGCTGGTGTGGCAACTATTCAGAAGAGGAAACTGAGGCTGGATGCCCAAATCACAGCTATGAAATTCAGATGCTGAGAAATTGTTGTCCCATCTCTGGCACCAACTTTCATCCAGTGGCCTGGCTGTGTGGGGATTCTGAGCTGCATCTGGGCTGGATTCAGCCGGTGCAGTGCTGTGATTGACTGCTCATGTCTGTCACTGGCACACGATGTCTGAGTTTTACAGGGTTTCCACTGCATTTTATTGAAGGAGAGACTGAGGCCTAGAGACAGAGGACTTGCCTTGGACCTAACCCGGTTCTCAGTACCTGAGGAGCAGTCCCGGCACTGGCCCAGGGCTATGTGTACACCTGAGCTGGAGCCCAGGACTGCTGGCTCCAGAGAGGACCTCCTTCTCAGGCACTACTTCCTGCTCTTCTGTGTGAGCAGCACCTACTTTTGATTGTACCCTAAACCTGTTTTAGGGTTAGTGGGTTGGTGAAATGGGTTCAGAGCAACAGATAGGAGTGTGTGGGGGGAGGACTGCTCCTTCCAGGAATTACCCCAGCAAATGCCTGGAGGTAAGGGTGGGGACAGGTGGCCAGCAGAGAGGGGTGGCAGTCTTCTGAGGGTCTGTGAGCACGTCTTCTGGGGAGGTCCCTGACCACAGAAGCATGGGAGGCACCGATGGAGAAGACCTCTCCCCACTACTGCCCTCACTCTGTAAGAATCAGGGTTTTTAGGCCAATGGTCAATGGGGACACTCTTCAAACAGTGTTGAGGCCCTGCCCCTGCCTCAGGCCAGCTGCTGAGAAATCTGGGGTGCTGGAAACTCCCCTTTGGAGCTTTCTTGAAGGAGGCACCCTGACCCACTGCTCAGAAGGTACTGTGGCAGGAGGGCCAGCTGACCTGCTAATGAGACGCAAGGTGGAGGGGGGCTTGGGGGTTCAACAGACCCTTGTTCCCTCCCAATCCTTTGCATGACTTCCATCTTGTGTGTTTGGGGGAGTCCTGGGAAGGGGGTTGCTCATCTGCCACCTGCAAATGGGTTGCTCCTGGCTGGGAAGGGTGTGGTAGTGGGCAACCTTTTGCTGCCCGGGTGCCGGATGGGGCCTCTGCTGCAGGGCCTGGTGCCTGTGTGCAGGAGTGCTGGGGTGGGACTTCTGTGCCACTGAAAATCGTGGTGGGGAGGCCAGGGTCATACCTGCTTCTGCCACTACCCGTCTGGCTGCCCCTGGCAGGCTGGGTCCCTCCTGGGGCCTCAGTGTCCCATTCTGCCCATGAGAATCTCCGTCCTGATGCTCCATCTCTGCCCCACCTCAAACCCCTCCTGGAAGGTCCAGCCGCTGAGATCCCGGGAAGTAATTAGTCATTCTTGAGTCAGGCTCCTGGACAGGACGGGCTGTTTTCTTCACCGCTGACCCTCCGCGCAGAGGCAGGCCCGCTCTGGAGGGACCTGGCAGTCTGGGGCCTGAGATGGGCGAGGAGAGGAGAGAGGGATGTGGCAGCTCCAGATCATTAGGGCCAGTGCCTGCCGTGTATCATTTGAGATCAGAGCCATTGTTATCCAGTTTCAAAGATGAGGAAACTGAGGCTGAGGGAAGTTGAGGGCCTTTGTCAGAGGTCATCCAGGGGCAGGATTACAAATCCACCCAATCTAACCCAACTGTGTCACTCACTGGCCTCGGGGTCTGCCCCGTCAGCATGGGGAGCTGGCTCTGAGCCCGCCCAGCCCAGCAAAGCCTCTGACAGCAGAGACTCGGGCTTGGGGGTGACCTCCCTGCTTGTCGGCACCTCCGTCAGAGCAGGGCCCAGGCAGGGGTAGGATGTTCCCACCCTCCCAGGCTCTGCTCACTGTTAGCAGGGGAGGCAGGGAGCACACGCTAAAATTAGACTCTGGGATCCTGCATGCTCCCGCATCCGTCCGGCGGTGTGGGGAAGGCTGTTGTCAGAAGGCCAGGGCTGGAAGGAGCTGGATGTCAACTTGCAGCCTCCCCAGGGCTCACTGGCTCTGATCTCCTCACACCCTCCCCAGTCCTTGGCGGAAGGTTCCTGCCCTTGGCTTGGCCCTGCGGTCACCTATTGATTAGCAGTAATTTCAAAGGGAGAGGCAACCCCCTTTTAACACACACCCTCTTCCACTGGGGTTCCACTGCCCCTTTGTTCCTCTCTCCCCTCCCTCCCTTCCCCTCTCCCGGCCTTTCCACTTCCAGGTCCTCAGTGACCCTCTCCCCCTTCTCTGAGACTCCCCTCCGGTCCCTGCTGGCCCTCTGTCTGCTTCTCTCTGGGATGGCCCTGGCCCTGCAGGCTTTGTGGACCACTGTGGTGGCAAGGGGGCGGGAAGACTGGAGACTGCAAATGAGCCTTTGTCTCTGGCAAGTTGAGGCTATTTGTGACCCAATATCGCCCTTTGGGGCCCTGCCCTGGCCCTCTTGCAGGCCAGTTTGGGGAGGTGCTGAGCCTGGCCTAGAGTCCTAGGGGCCTGCCCTTGACTTCCCTGGGGAGGGCCGGGTCCCTCTGGGCCTGGGGGCTGGGCCACTCCACTCTCAGAGGACCCAGAACTCACTTGGACTACCCCTACCTCCCACCCAGGGGGACCTGGGCTGCTTCAAGAGGAGAAAGGGTTGGGCTGGGACAGTGCGGAGCCCGTGTCCCCGTGACGTCCAGTTCCCACCCCAGCCCAGCCGCAGCTGCGAGGCAGGGAGCGTGAGAGCTGCCTGTGCCTGCTGCTGGGAGTCCCTGGACACTGGGGTCAGCAAGGGCTAGACCCAGCCCTCCCCTCCTCGTTCAGGAGAGGGTTGGGCGGGGGTGTTGCAGGCCACAGGCTCCACCAGGCCCCTGGGTGTTGGTTGACAGGTGCCGTTTGGCACAGCTATTCCAGCTGCAAACCCCCTCCCACTGCTGGCCTAGCAGGTGAGATTAGAATGGGCACAAGGCTGGTGGCTGGTGGAAGGATTTCCCTCTTGTTTCAGAAGCACTGGCCAGGGCCCAGAGACTGGGCTCATGGTCCCAGCAGGGCCACCAAGTTCCTGGATGACCTTGGGCAAATCCCCTCCCCTCCCTGGGCTTCAAATTCCTCATCAGATGAAAGGGCTGGGCTGGGGCATGTCCTGGGTGCTGCCATAGGAGCCCCTGGGCAGGGACAGAGAGGAGAGAAAACCGAGTCACCTCGGCCTTTTCCAGCGGATCTGCTTTTCAGGAAGCAGTCCCCCCACTGCCCACTGCCCACCAGGATTCCTCCTCTGCCCGCCCCAGGCTTAAGTAACAAACACCATTAGCCACATCCCTGTCCTCCTCATGACATCTGTGTCCCAGGGAAATCTAGGTAGTGGAAACCTTAGAAGGGTCACCTTGAAAGACATTCATTCATTCCCCCAAGGCAGGCTGGGAGCTGGTGGAACAGGGAAAGGAACTTGTGTGGGGCAATGGAGGAGGGGGGAAGGCAGGGGGAAAGGAGTGGGTGTTGTAGAGGTTGGGAGGCCAGGGTGTCTGGCAGGAGCCAGCCTGTGCTTGACATCATTGATGTTTCTCCCTCTCTCTCTCCCTCTCCCTCTCCCTTCTCTGAAATCAATAAAAAATATATTTTTAAAAAAGATTGAAGAGGTATATGAAGAGATAGATGATATGAAAGATATCCTGATGGAGTGTGGAGTGCAGAGTTGGCACCACAGAGCAGAGACATTCTGATTACTCTCTGGATGTCCGAGTCCTCTACAAGGTGTCCTCTGACTTGCTGTTGGAAGGAGGTGGACTCTGGGTCCTGGGAGATGGCCCCATCCTGTGTACGGAATCTGCTCTAACCCTTACCCTCACCTGGGCTTCCAAGGGATCCAAAGCCTCTCCCACTCAGAGCTTCTGCCAGGCTTTCTACCAGGCAGGG